GAGTCTCCTGCCTCAGCCTCCCAAGTAGCTGGGACCACAGGCGCCCACCACAATGTCCGGCTATTTTTTGGTTGCAGCCATTCTTGGTTTTTGGTGGGCCTGGGCTGGATTCGAACCTGCCACGTTAGGTGTATGTGGCTGGCGTCTTAGCCACTTGAGCCACAGGCGCCGAACCAAAAGTTTTCCTTTCTTAAAAACAGGTATACATTTTTATGCCTTCTTCTGTACATACATTTGTAGATATATGTAAAGACACGTATAGATTAAAAATAAATGGATGAGACCAGGCCCAATGACTCGTGCTTGTAATTCCAGCGCTCATTTCAAGGCCAGCCAGAGGAAGAATGAAACCTCAGTCTCCAGGAAAATACAAAATTAGTCAGGCACTGTGGCAGGCACCTATAGTACCAGCTACTCAGGAGGCTGAGGCAGGAGGATTATTTGAGCCCAGGAGTTAGAGGTTGCTGTGAGCTAGGCTCATGCCATGGCACTCTAGCCTGCGGAACAGAGATTCTGCACCCCCCACCAAATGGATGGAGAAAGATATACCATGCTAACAGTAATCAGAAGAATGAAGGAACACATAGAAGGTGCCCTAAAAGTTATCCAGAAAGTCACTGTACAGAGGGAAAGGGGGAAATTATAGCTAAATGTACCTTTATTTACAAGGTATCATTACAAAATTTTACAAAAGGGCTCGGCATCCATAGCTCAGTGAGTAGAGTGCCAGCCACATACATCAAAGCTGGCAGGTTCAAGCCCTGCCTGGGCCTGCTAAGTAATAATGACAACTGCAACCAAAAAATAGCCAGGCATTGTGGCAGGCGCCTATACTCCCAGCTACTTGGGAGGTTGAGGCAAAAAACTGCTTGAGCCCAGGAGTTTGAAGTTGCTGTGAGCTGTGATGCCATAGCACTCTACCAAGGGTGACATACAGAGACCGTCTCAAAAAAAAAAAAAAGAAAAGAAATATTTTTTACAAAGGGGGCCAACACATACGGAATATTTTGTAAATGTTTTATAGAATTCTGAATATTTGGTAAATAAAGGTACATTTAGCTATAATTTCTAATTTTCCTTACATATGGTAACTTATGGGTGATTCTTAGGACACTCTGAGGATTAGAAATGAATGGATGAAGAAAGATATACCATGCTGACCCGAATGAGGAAAGAGCACTTAGGCCGGGTGTGGGGGCTCATGCCCTTAATCCTAACTCTCTGGGAGGCTAAGGTGTGTGGACAGCTTGAGTTTACAAGTTCGAGACCAGCCTGAGTCAGAGTGAAACCCCCATCTCTACTAAAATAGAAAAACTGAGGCAAGAGGATCGCTTGAGCCCAAGAGTTGGAGGTTGCTGTGAGCTATGATGCCACAGCATTCTACTCAGGATGATAGCTTGAGACTGTCTCAAAAAAAAAAAAAAAAGAAGAAGAAGAAAACAGGAGTAGTGGAGTAGCTTTATCAGGAATAAAGAGGACATGATATAATAATAAAGGGCTCAATTCTTTAAGAAGGTATAATAATTTTTTTTTTTTTTTTGAGACAGAGTCTTACTATGTCGCCCTCAGTAGAGTGCTGTAGTGTCACAGCTCACAGCAACCTCAAACTCTTGGGTTTAAGTTAAGGTGACTAGACTTCCCACTTTTGGTGGGACAGTCCGGATTTTTAACAATTTGTCCCACATCCTGCAGAGTTTTAAAAATGTCCTGATTTTTGGAAAGAATGCACTACATCTAGGGAAGGGCGGAAAACAAGAATGGAATATGCGGTTGGCTGCTGAAAAGGTTAATGTAACTCTATCTGGGAATGAAGAGGTTAATGTAACTTCATTTGGAAATGAAAAGGCTAAACTCCCTACTCCCCTCCTGGGCCCTACTCCTTTCAGTCACAGGCATCACTATACATAAATTTTTTTTAATGTATTATATTTGTAAATTGTACTTATGTTGAAATTAAAAAAAAATTACAATACTATTTTTGCATTCTATGAAAATTTTTGTTGCTCCATATAGACCAAATTTTTAATCAAGAACATACCTCTCCCCCACCCCACCCCCAATCAATGGTGTCCTGCTTTACCAATGTTAAAATCTGGTCACCTGGCTCGGTGCCTGTGGCTCAAGTGGCTAAGGTGCCAGCCACATACACATAAGGTGGCAGGTTCCAATCTAGCCCGGGCCTGCTAAAACAACAATGACGGCTGTAACCGAAAAATAGCCAGGCGTTGTGGTGGGCGCCTGTGGTCCCAGCTACTTGAGAGGCTGAGGCAGGAAACT